GACTATGACTTTTGATGATTCTCTCGTAGATAAAAGAATTAAAACATCTCTGGCTTATTCTATTGAACTGAAACGTTGATACGAAAGTCAATGTTATTTTAGAAACTTAAGATGAGGCCTTTACCGTTGTTAGAAACCTGTTGTTAGAAACTTGTAACGGTTCAGTATAATCTATCTTATCATTTATTATTGCTCTTGTGATGCCACTTGTACAGCAAGTATAATCCTATATAATTTCAACAGCATAACATAGCATTCTAGAACAAGTTTAAGCATGTCGGGGTATTATTTGTGGTTTAATCTTTCTGTATTCCATGTAGTATGCTAGGATAGAGGATTTTTCTCACCGAAAAAACATGTTTCTAAATACTGAATATCATATCATATCTGAATCTCTGAATCGTGTATTTTATGATCTTATCTGAATCGTGCATTTCTTAACAGGGTGATGATATGTCATAGATCCTTGAAGGTGCATTTGATTTCTTTTGTATGTTGTAGGTCTGTTTTAGAATCATATGTTACAAAAATGAGAGAAATTTATATGCAACTAACCAATGATCCTTTAGACATCTCTATAATCCTTGTTTGTTATTGTAGTTCTTCTTCTTCCCAACCCACCAAGTTGTGCTTTTTATATGTTTCAATTATCTAATATTTTTACAGATCATATTAGATTGTGGTCTACTTGTATATTTATTTATTTGTAGTGGCTGAAGAGATGGAGTTGCATCAAGAGCTTTGAAATTACCAGATAACATAGTGAATGACTTTACTGATTCAATTCATTCCATTACTGTCATTTGTTACCTATAATGGCTGTATTTTATTCAGTTCAAAACTTATTTCTTTTATTTTCTTACATGCTTTATGCATATTGAGTGATATTAATATATTTGATAACAAGACAAAATCTACTTTTGGTCTGAGGCAATCCACTTGCCTTGGCTTGGTTATTACTTATTATTGCACTCAACTGAAACCCTAAGTTTATTTTTGTGTACTGTCTTATGCTTTTCTTTTACCTTAGTTTCAAGATTTTAGCCATTAAATCAGTTGATTTTTAGGGTTAGCAAGTTTCTCTTTTGGTCTCTTCTGAATTTTTGCTCAATGTTAACTGGTTATTTCATGTAGATTCAAGTATATTAGTGATTCTTCAATGGATATCGACTAATATTTATTATTAGTTCACCCGTATCAAATTTTAGACTTTTAATACCGACATATCAATCGATATAGGATTGTATTACAAATATTTGTAAGTATCCCAGTACGAGTCTATGGCTCAATGTTGCAATGTATCTCGGGGTTTAAATAATTAGGTGCATTATGGAGGTTAATCTGATTCTCTTGAAGTGCTTTGCAGCAGCATAGCTGGTTCCTGTGGCAAGTTTCTTTTGTGCTCTTCATTTTACTTTGTTTGTTGTGACTATTGTTAGTCAAAAACTTTTTACATTGCGTTTTGAATCATTGAGAAAAGGTAAAATGGGTTCTAATTTGACAATTGGATTGTTTGTGTTCCCATCTTTCTTGTCCTTTACTTCACTTTTGAACCAAAGCTTAGGAAGAGCAAATGAATACAATGGAAAGTAGGTAAAAGAAAACCTATATCTAGGCCTTTGGGACCTAAACAACACGTGTGATGACTCTCTTTTTTCTTATATAGGCCTTTAATCAGCCAGTGATTGTTTTTTTAACCATGGACCACAGAATAATACAGAAGAACATCTTTTGAATATAAGATCCAAACAAGGCATATATAGTCGGTGATAATCCACTAATTATTTTTTTAGGGTATCACTTATTTATAATTTCTACTTTATTTAATATTTTTATTGTAGAAAATTTGATATATATGCAAAAAAAAGGAGACGAGAAATCTTACCTTTGTGCCTCCTCACGATGTTTGGCATCAATCTCTTTATTTGGTGGATATTTTGGCAAGGTCAACTTCTATACACTTTTCAAATATTTCATTACATTTTTTATACATAAATTAACCAAATGGCTGGTGGTTGGCATTTCCCTTTAATAAATGACCTCAATTCCACAATAGTAGCTTGCAATTATGTTGTTGTTCAAATATTTCTTGTATCATTATTATTGATTTTTTTTTTTTTTTAATATTGCAAAAACTACCTAAATGCTCCCTCTGTTTTAGATGCTAGGCTACAGTGGATTCGGCACATGTTTTGCTGCCAAATTCTTCCATGTACCGCTAAAAAAAGGAGACGAGAAATCTTACCTTTGTGCCTCCTCACGATGTTTGGCATCAATCTCTTTATTTGGTGGATATTTTGGCAAGGTCAACGGGTCACATGCATAGGGCTTTGTTTTGAAATACTGAGGATAGCAAGTACAAGATGAACATTAAGCATATTCATGATGCAACTGAAGATAAAACACAAATAATTACAAATAGTTTCTGCATGATACCTCAGATGCAAGAGCGGAAGATGCGGTTCCACGCTTGTATGGTTCCACAGAGAGTAAAGTTTCTATCAGATTCACAGCCGTTTTTGGTAAATCTTTGAAAGTCGCCTAGAGAGAGCTTTCATAAGGATGCTGGGGCTTAAATAGAGTAGCATGAGGAAGTTTGGACTTTCTCCAGTAATCGTCTTCCTGTGTCTCTGTTTCTCTGAAGATCTTCTTCCTCCTCTTCCTCACCACTAATCCCTCCGACGCCGACTTCTTCTTCCTCCCCTTCTCCATCGCCGCCATGCGTCACGATCTGTGGAGACCTTGTTGGTCTTGGCCATTTGAATGTGAAGCAGAAACAGAGAGCCCATGTAGAGAGAGAAAGTGAGTAGAAAGAGAGAGAGAATGGGGTGAGGGACCTTAGACTACAAAAGAACAGATTGTGGACCTAATCCATTACTAAAAGTTGGATAGGGACCTTAGACCGATTTTCCCTAAGATAAATATCACATTAAATTCATAATTATTTTATTTTTTTCTCTTATAAATATAACATTCAATTACAAAAAAATCTAACTATATTTCCAAACACAAATATTTTAGCCTATTAACATAGCCTACTAAAATAGCAACTTCCTAAACACTTACTATAAATATGTGTGTGTGAGGGAGAGAGAGAGAGAGAGAGAGAGGTTCACAAAACAACCCCAAAACAGTAGCAATTTGAGCAAAAACAAGACCAAAACAGCAACATTTTTTTATTTTTTTTGAGCTAATCTGAGATGTGATTTTTTAAAGAAAAATCAAACCCATTCTCCTTCTCCGTCTCCGATATGGCTAGATCGCGGCTTCCCATTCGGTTTGCGAAGTCATCTCTGACGTCCTCTCTTCCTCTTCCTTGTCCTCCTCCTCTTTTGTTCCTCCTTCTCTATTTCTCTCTTTCTCTCTATTTGTTTGGGTTTGGTTCTCAATTTTTGAGAGAGAAACGAGAAAGTGGAAGAAAAAAAAAATCAAAACGATGTCGTCTCCGACATTCGAGCCATTCGAGGCAATGAGTTTCGAGCTACAAAACATTTTTCTTTATATTAATAATATAATATTAAAACATATTATTTATAATATATACAAACACTCAAAATATATATAAATACACAAAATCCTATAAAATTATAAAATAATATAAATAAATAGACTAATAAAGTGTATATTAACAAGCCAAATGTGTAACATTTAAATATCGGTTAGTATGCAAGGTGTTGAGTTTGATCCCTCTCAGCAACTTATTTTTGATGCATGGAAGTTTGGCTGGTTTGCTCTGCCCGGCTTTGGTTTGGCAGTTAAGCTGGTTTATCCATGGGTTTCACTGGTTTCGTTAAAAGAAGTCAGTTTTTCAAAGGAAATGGATTTAAGGGTGTACCGGGACTAGATCTTGGACTGGTCAAACCAGCCAGCCCGATTTTAAAAACATTGGTATGTATCATCTATTTGTTTGAATGCACAACATACTGGTTTTTGGTTCCTAAGCACGAACTTGAATCTAGTGACTTAACCATTTGAATTCAACTTTCTTTCGTTCAATTGAGTGTTTTTTTTATACTTTGTTTGGTTGGGGGATTTAAAAATGGAAAGATAAAAGGTGTGTAAACTAGGTGAAACATGCGTATATTTTATTCTCATTTTACTTATCTTTTCTCTTTTCTCTTTTCTCTTTTCCTTTCCAAATCCCTTCTCAAATCCCCTAACCAAATACATCGTTAAGAAATTTGACGTTTCTGTAATGCCATATAGTAGATGTCTCATGACTTCTCTACGTAGAAACTAAAATATCGAGGATTTTCTAAAGAATTTGAATTTTTGGATTAGTCTCTATGGCATTGTGAGTGGGGATTTCAAAAATTCAAAATTTAAAATCTCGTAGGCTTCGCTTTGTTAAGTGAAAATATGGGGTTTTATAGTTCGATGTGGGGCTCCAATACTGGATTCCAGTAGTAAAGTTAAATGTATCTACAAATTTTTTTTTGGATGAAATATCAATAAATTTCAAATAGTGATTTTACAAACTGTTTGATTTTTTTGTTTTCTCATATAAACCCAAAGGTCTCATTCTAGTATGAATGACATAAATGACCAAATATAAATGTGCGTGTATTATGTGTTGAGGGACAAATGTGAGTTTTATCAGAATGTTTAAATTACTAAACATAACACTTCAAAAAAAAAAATTAGTGTTTTTTTCAAACGTAACACTCTAATGTAACACTAAAAAAATGTAACATTCCAATGTAACACACTAAAAAAAATTTAGTGGTGTTTTTTCAAACATAACAACGTAACAAAAAAAAAAAAAAAAAAAAACTCTTTAGTGTACTTTTCTCAACGTACCACTCCAATCAATGTAACATACAAAAACTCCTTATTATGCTTTGTTTCCAAACGTAACACTCCAATGTAACACATTAAAAAACTCCTTAATGTATTTTTCTCAACGTAACAACGTAATATTCCAAAGAAAAAGAATTTGGTTCTAGAAATCTATATTGAACTGGGCTCAAAATAGGGATAGAAATACTAGGTTCTTTAATAGAATTGCTAGTCAAAGACAAAGAAGGAACTTGGTGGACTCAGTGGTAATTGATGGAGTTAGCATTGAAGATCCAGATCTGGTGAGACAGGAAGTGCTAAGGCATTTTCGGAGGATTGGCTATCTAGTCCAAAATTGTCTGGTAGCAGTGTGAAAGTTAGTAATGCAAAAGTGGTGGAGCTTCTTGAAAAAGAATTTACATTGGAAGAAGTGTGGGATGTAGTAAAAGGTTGTGATGGGAATAAAGCGCTGGGACTAGATAGGTTTAACATGGCGTGCATTCAGAAATGTTGGAAGTATATGAAGAGTGACCTATTCCAATTCATGTAGGAGTTCGATATTAATAGTAAGCTGTTCAAGGAAATTATAAAAGTCAATTATCACTACTAAAAAAAACACTTTTTGCGACCGCCACAAGCCGTCGCAAATAATAAAAATACAGTCGCAAAAAACTTTTTGCGACGGCCTATGCGACCGCAGATGGGGGACGCAAATGTGGGGGTGGCAAATACTTTTTGCGACGGCAAAACAGCGGTCGCAAATTATTTGCGACCACCTAAACTACTTTTTGCGACAGCTATTTTGCCGTCGCAAAAAAAATAAAATAAAATAAAAAACACTTTTAGCGACCATTGTTTTACTGTCGCAAATAATTATTTCTTTTAAAAAAATCATATATGGGTTTGCTATAACAAAAAAATCAATTATAAGCACCAAACAATTTTTTGTTAATGAAAATAACAAAATTAACAATTTAATTAAATTTATAATAGACATTATCCATTAACCATCCTTAAATACACTGTACTAAAAAATTCAAGTCTCAAAAAAAGAAAAAAAAAAAAAAGCAACATAATCTTTGGCTCCCAACATCACCTGCTTGATCATACCAACTATTCCCTCAACAAAATCTGCAAACACATATATCAAACTTAACTAAGTGCCTTCATACTATAAAATGCTATGTAGTTAAACACAATATAAATTCAGAGAGACAGAGCCATTCTTCAAAGAGTGAAATCCTAACTTTTCATGGAGAGAATTATTATTGTGATTCAAACCCACCCACAAAGCTAGGGGCAGATAGAACTTCTCAAGTCATGTCACGACCACTAAGAGGGTTCAAGCCTTGCCATTCAAGCCCTCCCTCCCTAAACCTATCAGAGTACAAGTACTTGAACTGTGCAAATTCCCTACTAGTGGTACTAGTAATCCCACTATTGCTTAGTTATAACAGCTCATGTTTTAACCCACTATGACTCTACTGCATCAAATATATATTAAAAAAACATAACTTCCTAGAAATAGACTTTTCTTGATTATTGCTAAATAGGAACCACTTACATCTTGATATAATAGCTCTGTTCCACTCAACTTTTAGAAACCCAATCCATCTTCCTTGACCATATTAAGTTTACAACCTGCAAGATGGAGAAAAAATTGGAGAGAAACTAATTAGCATCCATCATTAAACATACGATTAAAGTTGGAATGTTTCATAATTCTAATGTCTCCGAGACCCAATATGCTAGCAATGATTTAACTGCAATCATAAAGCTATAAACTTTCAAAGTTTTGATTTTATTTTTAATTGAAAAGTTGTAACATGAAGGTTTGAACTCATTCAGCTAAGCGAATGACACAACCACAGTATGGAAACTACTCAAGGAACCAGAATTCTGTAAATGATGAGACTAAGCATTTTGTATAATTCCAAAATTTATGGCAAGTAAAACTAGGTGACAGGAATATCTTTAAATGGGACAGTAAAAAAATGATAGATAATATCAAAATCACATGAACATCACAGATAATATGACAAATAAAATATAAAAACAACAGATCATGTTCTGACAGTATTAAGTGGAATCAGCATCAAGTAAAGTTCCATCCCAACTCAGATAATATGAATTTTAATGGGAACATGATAGTCCAACGATTATAGATATGTATTGAGAGAGCGTATAACAATTTAACAAAATTTCTTTACAAACAGAATTCTGTACTTGACCAGATGCTGCCAGTGCATCCATAAGGAGAGATACAGCCCAACCATACTTGTAAGCATATTTGACGAGCAGCCATAGCTTCTGTTCCTTGATGAGCAGCCATTGATGTCCCTAGTGTCATAGTCACAAGAACAACAAAATAGTGTCCCAGTGTTATATATATATATTTATAAAATTACATCAACATATCTAACTAATGCTCCTTTATTTTCCAAAACTATCCACATTATATCTATCTAACAGCTCATAATGCTATATAGGAAACCTATCATATACTTTATCTAAACCAATAATCACCATATAAAGGCCCTACAAATTCAAAAACTTTTGTATCTCATGAGAATTTGTCAACAACTTTACTGCATATTTTTTCTTTTCCGGCATTTTCTCACAAACAAAACAAAGGCAAAAACTATAAATATCATCTGAAACATGTACAACATAAAAACTCTAATCTTAATTTTCATTCTAAGGGATTAAAAACAGAGCTAAAGAATAAAACTCAATTTTTTCAATTTTAGTTTCTGACAATATCTGAGTAGATAAACAGAGGCAAAATGGAGAAATATAATCAGACAAATAAAAACATACTGAATTTTCAGGCTTAAGAAGCAACAAAAAAAATCGAAATGAAAAAATAAAATTGAATTTCATTCATCGAATAATAGAAATCATAAAATTTGAATATTGCAAGGGTCATCCGTCAATCCAAACCCTAGGAGCAGATTCAAATTGTAAAATGACAAGAGACAAAGGAAAATAGAAACAGAGAGAACTTCCGAGAGAGAGTACCTTGAACTCGATCGAAACCCTAGGTGCAGATTCAAATCTGAAATCAAGAAGAAGAGAAAGAAACTTGAGAGAGAGAGCGAGAGAGAGCGCGTACCTTCAATGATCGAATTCAAAAGAATCAGGAAAAGCTGATTGTGTTTTTAGAATATAAGAAACAGAGAGAGCACAAGATTGAGAAGAACATCAATGAGAGAGAGAAGAGATTGAGTGACACAGAACGAGTGAGATCGAAAGAAGAGAGAGTGATTCATAATTAATATAAAATTTAAATAAATAAATAAATAAAATAAAATAAACTTATTTTAGCCCCTGAAAATGAAATTCTAATTCTGCCCCTACTACAAAACAATTGTTCCTCAGCATGATGGCGCATTAATTTAATTTAAACAAAGGGTATAATATTGTAAAACAGAATAGTACAAACTTGTCACTTATCATCATTCTACTATATATAGTGTAAATCAACTTTAGTTACTTCACACCGAAAAATCACAATACAAAAAAGACGAAAAAAATAGGATGAAGAATCAACTTCTAATGTTGTTTTTTCTTATTGTGGCAGTTTTTTCAAGTATCGAAGCTCAAACTTGCAAGCCTAGTGGCAAGCTAAGGGGCAAGAAGCCTCCTCAGGGAAAATGCAACACTCAAAATCAATCTGAGTGTTGCAAGGAAGGTAAGCTTTACAGTACTTTCACATGTTCGCCACCAGTGTCCGCTCGTACAAAGGCATTGTTAACAATCAACAGCTTTCAGAAGGGCGGTGATGGCGGAGGGCGATCTGCATGCGATAACAGGTTCCATTCAGATAACAAGCTGGTGGTGGCACTGTCAACCGGGTGGTTCAACAAGCGACAGAGGTGCTTAAACAACATTATCATCCATGGAAATGGACGACGTGTAAAAGCAATGGTGGTTGACGAGTGTGATTCCACCTTGGGTTGTGATGCCGATCATGCTTTCCAGCCTCCATGTCCTAATAATATTGTGGATGCCTCCAAAGCCGTGTGGAAGGCTTTGGGTGTTCCTGAAAAAGACTGGGGCAACTTGGATGTTACTTGGTCCGATGCTTAATCTCCAACGCATTTGTTAATGTTTTTCTTCTTATGTTGTAAATGGTTATAAAGTGTACTACTGCTTGTTTATCCAGAATTTGGCAAGGATATGTATACTTCCCATTCAGTATAATGAAGCTATAGTTTTCAATATCATTATCTCATACATATTAGATTTTTGGCCTCCAAATGTCAATACTCAGTGAGAATGAAAATCATTTATGTACAGACTAAGGTAGGAATATATATCAATTCACAATATATAAGTGCATAACTGATATAGTTGATGCAATTATTGTAATAAAACTATTTTTCGCGACTATTAATTTTAAAAAAATTGATAACTTCTTTTGATTGGTAAAAGAAATTTTATTGACAAAAGAACAAGATACAAGGTACAAAATAAAATATATCAATAAAAAAAGACAAGTTCTCAACTATATTGATAACTTGTGTCAGTATACATGAGTGGTGATTTAAAGCACTAAATTTGAAGCTCTAAAAATACCACTAATGAGGTGGCAATGAAAAAAAAAAAAAAAGGCCAAACTATCACATCAGTAGTAAGGTCCACATGATGCCAAATCATTAGTGGTGCATTAGTGGTGCTAAATTAGTGGTATGAAATATTTTTCTATAACATAATACTTTTTTATACCACTACAAAGTGATTGCTAAAGATTCATTTGTTGGTCTTGGTAGAAAATGAATGGTGGTGTCCTCATTATGATAATTTCACCTTGGTATGTTAAATAAGCCTTAAAAATTGTCCATTTAAAGGTCGTTTAGCAATGACTTTTTTAGTTGATTTTTTGATTTTTTTTATTTTTTTATTTGTTTGGTTTTCTTGTTTGGTTTTTTGGCTTTGAAATGACAAATTTTTTTTATCATTTTGTAATTTTGTAATTTTTTTTTGTTTTTTTACGATTTTTTAGCTCCAAGAAAACCAAACGAGCACTTAGAAGCATGAATTGCATTTTTTGTGTTAAAATTTGATTCAAATTACAATAATTAAATCTTCATATTTTAATCATGGTTTTAATGTAGTCCTCCCTTCACTTGTCAATAATACAATGGATAAAAGGTGATCACGTCAGGTCCCCATGAGTATGCTTTAACGGTACTAGAGAAAAAATACCCGCACATTTACATTTTTAACCTTTCAACTTGCTATCACAGCTTTCTTGGGCAGTGTGTTCGGCATGGGAGATTTTTTGGTTTGTAGATAGGAAAATAAGTGAGAATAGTAGTTAGGGACACCATTAATGATGTGACAATAGATTTCATCCACTATCGAAGTATTGTGTGTCTGTTTTTTTTTATTAAAAAAAAATAAATGTCACATTATTAGTGGTTACTTGAGAGCACCACTTTTAGTAGTCTCTATTATTGTCCTTGTAGATAAGAGCTTATAAGCTTCTTTTTTTTTTCGTATTAAAATTTAAAAAAATTGTGAAACTGAGAGATTGGTTATGTGGATGCGAACAGCATTAGTAGGAGAGTTTGCACTTTAAATCACTCGCAATGCATTCTATTTCCTTATACCTTTAATTTTATATTTTCAATAAAATTTTTACTTTATCAATCAAAAAAATGATGAGATGATGGTATAACTACATTGAAACTGAGATTACTATCTAAAGACATAACTTTTACAATTAAAAAATAAAAGAGTAAATTGAAATTTTGGTAAAAAGTGTAATTTAACCAAAAAGTATTCACTTATATGAATAAAAGTTCAGGAAAAATAAAAGTGTAGTGAAATTAATACCAAAATAAAAATTGTATGTACTTAAAAAAATATTCAGAAATTACTTAAAATTTAGATCAAATTACAAAAAGTAAAGAGTGTAATTTATTTTTAAAATAAAGATACATTAATGTGATTGTTTCACAACTTCTTCCTTTTTTTCATTGACAAAAAAAGTTGGCGCATGAAACCCAACAAATCATATGCGATAAGCAAGCCGAGAGGGGCTTGGCAAAGAGCGAAAAAAAAAAAGAAAAAAACAGACAGAAAAGAACCTCCACTGGCCTTGGCAGACTCGATGCCTTCAATTTTCACACTTACTTTTTTTTGCTTTATTGATGTAATTATAATTATTTAAGAGTTCATTAATAAGGGTTCTTTTTCCTATAATTTTATATTTTAAAAAAAAAAAAAACCTAGTAATCATAAAGTTGTTCTTTGGTGGAGACAAACTTGTCATGTTTCAAGTACTTGTTCAATCTTTTTCCTTTCAAAATTACTTTTTTCCCTTAGAGTAGAAAGTGTCTAAGCATCGCATTAAGTTGGTCGGCAAGTGAATTTAATGAGTCAAAATTTATTTTTATGCTAAATCCAAACACAGATTTCTCAGTTAAACAAGCCAATGAAATAGGATCCAAAACCCATAAACATCACTATCTAGCTATGATGAGCTTACTATGAAGGATTTGAGCTCGATACACTCACAACCTAGCACTTAACTTTTGACCAATTCAATAGTGATTCGAAGGAACTCTTGAAAAATGTCTCTTTAGTTTTGGCTTTTTGTTCTTGTCTTTGTCTTTTCAAGAATAAAAAATAAAATTTTTGAAGCACTTTGGTGTTTTTTAACGATAAGTATGAGAACCAGACTTGCTATCTCATATTTGGGACAAGAATGGAATGTATGGTGGATATTGAAAGTGTATATTGTGGAATCTATGTATGAAATGAATTTGAATCAGTATTTCTGAGTAATTTCAAGATAAATTTTTCTAGATTTATAATATTACTCTTTTTTAAAATTGGGTGTGCATGCCAACCTCTAGTGATTATTTAAAGTGACTCAAACTCAAGATATTAGATTATTTTATATTTTTTTTTTTTAAGAAACGTTTTGTACCATTTTTGGTTTGTTAGTAGATCTAGGTGTTTGAGATGTAGTTGAAAGAGTTAATTTTTTATTATATAAGTTAAAAAGTTAAATATATATATATATATATATTTGTCATTAATTTTAGAGTTTTTTTATTTATTTTAAGACTCGAACAAATATTAGTGCAGAAGAACAAGGATAAACAATTTTCTAGTAGTATTTCAAGTCCTCTAACAATTAGTTACATTATATATTATTTAAGTGATTTTAAAATTTTAAAATTTAATTATATTTGATTTACATCTCTATTTCTTATAAAATTTATATTTTTAAAATCCTATTGGCAATGTCTTTCAAACATAATCCATGAGTAATATCAAATTTTGAAGAAAAAAAATTCATAGAATTTTACTGCGTTGGTTGTTATGTCATAGTGAAATTGCACTC